TTCGGTCCCGGGCGCCGGCGAGAAAACGAGGAGGCAAAGTTTCTTTCACCCTATGCCCCCTGTTACCTAGCAGTAAATAGGTACCTGGGAGTTAGTCAGCTGTCACGGGCTGCATCCTGGTGTGGTGTGTGTGTGTGTGTGTGTGTGATGTGGAAAAAAAATTAGTAGTAATAGGAACAGTTGAGAGGCGGGCCGAAAGAGCAGACCTCAACCCCCGCAAGCACAACTAAGTGAATACACACACACTCTCTCTCTCTCTCTCTCTCTCTCTCTCTCTCTCTCTCTCTCTCTCTCTCTCTCTCTCTCTCTCTCTCTCTCTCTCTCTCTCTCTCTCTCTCTCTCTCTCTCTCTCTCTCTCTCTCTCTCTCTCTCTCTCTCTCTCTCTCTCTCTCTCTCTCTCTCTCTCTCCCTCTTCTTATTATACAGGAATAATTGTTAAAAATGTAGCAAATGTTATAGAGTTTTCTAATGTGATTTTAATCGAATTTACTTCACATAATTTTATAGAAGCAATAATAATAATAATAATAATAATAATATACTATAAACGTCAATAAATATAGAAATATGGATATCTGATTAAAAAATTATTTAAATATTTTTAGTATATGACAAAAATGAGACGTTAATATGATGTCAAAGATAAACACGGCGGATTGTTTGTTGTTAAAGATTCGCTACCTAGAACAAAGTTCCAAGTAGCACAGGCTATGGTGAGCCCGTAGGGGTAAACATACCGGGACTTTCCCCCTAGCCCCTTAGAAGTGTGTCGGTGAGAGTTACATCTAGGTGAGTGGAGAGGCCTGGCCCCTGGGAGCCCCTGAGGGGGAGGAGGGAGAGAGGCATTAGTGATGCTTTCTGATGATGAAAGCGTACAAAATGAAGGCATGGCAATCATTCTTGGAATCCCAAGTAGAAATGCAATAACGTTTAATATCTACGAGAAGGAGTTGTCCATACCCAGTGTTAAAAGCAGAAATTAATTAAGGGAACTGAAGACTGAATGTCAAGATTGCAATTTTAAGATAGCCAGAGATCCCCCATTACAATGATATTGCAAAGAAGAAACAGAATTCTATGCTACTTATAGGAGGAAATAGGACAAACAAAAAGCAAAAGATGGCATCACAGATCAGTCTGCTACCTGGAAGAACTTCACCTGCTTGAGCAAGCCCGTGAGCTCCTGCCTGTAGAGAGGTTACCTCCCTGGGAGGATGACCCATGCAGGAGAGCATGGGCACAGCACCCATCAACGAGATGCCAGCGAAAAAGTTCAACATGATACCACAAGAAATGAGGCACAAGTATCTTGAGGAAATTTATATAGAAGTCGGAGATGAATTTGATCGAATCTACACTGATGGGTCATCTAATCCTGTCAATGGCAGGGCTGGTGCAGCATACACGGTAACAATGACTTTCAATGAGGAAATGAAGAAAAAGCCCCTATTGAGAACTATGCCTCTTCAGCGCAGGCAGAGCTAACTGTCATTGTTATGGCGTTAAGATTCCTTGAACGAAACACTAACGGTGCACTGATCTCTGTATTGACTCAAAAGCAGGACTACAAAGTCTTGGTAAAAATCAGGCAGAAAACCTTGCAATAGTCACTGAAATCAAGAGAATTTGATTTAGTAGTGAGAGTAGTAACCAATCAGGGAAGTCGTAAAATTCCTGTGGATCCCCTCACATGTTGGAGTATGTGGGAATGAACGAGCAGATGTGTTGGCTGCTGAAGGCGCTGAAGGAAACCATATTGAATACTTCTTACCCAAGACTCATCTACACATTAGAGGTATTATCAGGCAATGTCATCGTGACAAGGTAACTGAGGAAAGGAGGATAGAAGAACAAAATAGTGAATCTGTACGATGGTACAACATGGTTGCAGCTGGCAATCCCAGTCATTATGGAGAAAGAGGAGGTGG